ACCAGATTGCCGAGCGTAAATTCTTCGAACCAACTGACTCTGCAGGGAGACTCGGAACTGGCAGCAATAGAAAGAATGACCCGAGCAGGAGAAAATAACTAATGAATACCTCATTTTTATCTGATACCAAAATTTGGTATTGATCAGCATGACATAAGAGAATAAGAGAAAATACTTTGTAAATAACATAAATGGATGTTTGGACGCCAAAAGAATACTTGCGTGGTATTGTTGAGGTATTGCAATTGCATAATTCTGTATTGGAATGGTATTGTGAGAACATTTTTTTGGTATTTTACCTTTTATGCCAATTTTTTGGTATCGAGATATTCGTTCCTGCTCGGGGAACGATAAACATGACAGCCGAACAATTTTCTTAACCAAGGAAGAAGCCGATGGAATACGTAAAACCGAACGCTTACGATGTAAAAATCCGAGTGAAGTATTTTTTGGCTCAGAGATTTAAATCAGTCGAATTGGCCACAGCAGTTTTACAGTATTTGCGTGACGCTTACGGTTGTGAGTCCAACTCCGACCGATGGCTAATATATTGATGGGAAATGTTTAATAAAAAATAAGATACTGGTTTTAAGACACTCTATACAACAAGTAAGATTAAAATGTTCGGAGATTCTACAAAGGAAAAATCAAGATCAAAATATTCAATGTTTTAAAATTCATTACTGAACTTCAAAGTCATGGTAATTTAATTTGCAAATTTAACTCCAGGTTGAATTGCATCCAACATCGAGTTAACTTTCAGCATATCAGTAATCATATCGATTAATGATTGCTGTAAAAATTTAATTTTAGGAGTTGTAATGCTACCTAAGTTAAAATTATTAAAATTTTGGTTAGAATTATGACGCTAGAATTTTGATTTTGATTTCTATCAGCTGCAATCGCAGCAACGTGCTACAAATAGATTTGCAGTCTTCGACAAAGTTGTTCTACATAAAGTTCCCTATTTCCGAGATTTGGAGAAATTTTACTGATTTTAACGGTTTATGGTTTTATAACGGCAAAAGCAATCTTTTTGGTTTAAATAAAGCATTTACTAGTGCAAAACATTCTTGTTTAGTAGTTAAGCTGTATTCTGTTTTAAAAACCTTTTAAAGTCTGACAATTAAGTCAGAAAGCGTCTGGTTTTAAAAATGAATTTAATGCAGCGGTATATCCCTTTACAAAAATGTTCAATAAAGTAACCATAAGCCTGTTCGATTTTTTTTTTATTGATGTCACGACAGTATAAAAGCAATTATAAAACCGTTCGGTTTCAAACAGGATCAAAAAGCATATATTGTTGCTTTTTGGTTTCAATAAGTTGTATAAAAAAAAACCCCACTGTTTACAAATTAAACTAAAAATAAAAAGATGGATCTGCCTAGAGAAAGAAAAAACAATAAATCGAGTGGGGCTTTAAAAAGCAGAATCACAAGGAAATGTCGAAGGATAGTCGAGTAATAATTCTAGCGATAGGAGGAGGAATAATTCTAGAGATGCTGTCGATGGAAGCGAAAAAGATGCCAATTCCACACACTTCGAAAACTTCATATAATTTTAAGTCTCCTAAGACCGACACATATAAGCGACTCAAATGACATACAAATGCGTCCGTTAGTATTTTTACATGACGTAAAACAAAGCCAAATTGTAATTTTACTCGTTCAAGTTTGTTGACATGTAAATTTATAATGAGACGTATTTTTCAGCTGCCTACTGAATGTTCCTTCTAACAGCTATATTTCTTTCTGTTTTTTTAGATGTGCTATTGAAAAAAGGTGGTTTGTTCAAGAAAAAATAAAAACAATATCAAGACAAATTGTCCCACACCGAAAAGTAACCGCAAGTCAGTCCCATTAGAAAAAAATATGTTAGAAATGTTAGACAACAGATTTGTCTCAAGACAGATTTTGTCCACTTCCCCTAAGGTATCTGTAACATGTCCGGATGTGGCCAATATAGTTCTTACGATGGATTTTGATTTAAAAAGGATTTACAACTTCCCCGAGGATATCCGGAACATGTCCGGGTGTGGCCTACATGGTGCTGCTCATTCATCATGACTTTTATTGATCTTATTTTTGAATTCTCATGTGAATTGATTTATCGCATGGTGGGTTTGGCACGTTTAAGAAAAGTTCTGGTCTGATGAAGACCCATACTCACCAGAATATGTTCCGGCCATTGCTCTGGAACCAGCGAAACAAATCCAGAAACATTCAATAACGTTCTATGGGACCATGGTATATTTCTACTGTTCAATACTGTGCTAAACTAATGCAGTATCGTCATGGAATTGTGACCGCAATGTAATCGCAAGTCAGTCCCACTCAGATTTTGGCCATAAAATAAAAATTTCATGATATTTTTTCAATATTTTATGGTAAACATAGATGCATTCTATCACATTGTACGTTTATTTTTAAATTTATCCCTTTAAAATAAGTTTCTAATCAAAAAACTTGTAAAATCTTTGAACGCCGTTTTCTCATTTCCACACACTACGAAAAAGACATGTACATTTCAGTGCCCTGAGACAGAAACATACTAGCGGCCCTTTTGACATAAGAATCAGTTGAAAAGGACGAGAAAATCAATTCAATCAAACGCACTATTCGTCGAGTTGCATATGTTTCAGTTACAGGACACTTAATTTTACATGCCATGTTTGCTTACGTTCCATGATTTACGTCAAAACTGAATTACGTCTGTGGATTAAAACTCATTAAGGCAGAACGACAGTAGAATCTGCACACTACTAAAAAGTCATGTAAATTTCGGTTCCCTAAGACCGACACATGTAAGCGGGCTTTTTATCATAAGAATCAGTTGAAAGAAGCGTGAAAATCAATTCAAACAAACGTTCTCTTTGTCGACTAGCTGATGTTTCGTTTTGAGAACACTTAATATTACATGAAATGTTTGTTTGTCCAATATGGAGACGAACCAGCTCTAGGCTGAAAGTCTCTTTAATAAAGAAAAAAAAAAAAACGTCCAATGTGCATTACGCCTCGTGTAAAAGTAGTTTTTTTTCTAAATGTGTGGTAAAGTAAATTTTGTTTACCGGATGCTGTTGTCGCTTTACCTGAATGAGTTTTAATGCGTGAAAAATCGACATTCATTGTCATTGTTTACAAAGTCTTTGACAAAGTTGTTTTGCATAGTTTTCCCATTCCAAGTCTCAGGTCTGGTAAAAATTGCGCAATTTTTGATTTTATGTCAAGCAACTCTTTCCGTCAAGTCTTTCCGTTTCCCATACAATTTCTCATACAAACTTTAAAGTTCTCCTGCAAATCCAGATCGGAGCCAAATTTGATTAAACCTCAATACAGACCCAAAGAACCATCGGGAGCAAGGGATTGTGATCCGTCATACAAATTTAACCCACCCTAATGGACACCATCTCAACAAACCAATTCTGCTACTGTAGAAAATATGTTATTTATATGTTATATATTTTCCAACTTACATACATCCCTAGGCATTTTAACCAACGGCAAGAGTCATCATTTATTCATTTATTTATTTATATAGGTAAAAAATATGTTTCTTGCCACTAGAATTTTACCACGGGAGAATATTTTTAATTTGTTTCCTCTAGAATTTTGGCAAAATTAGATTTTATTTATCCTAAGCCTGAAAATCTGGAATATATTGCATATTTTTTTTTTCAAATCACTGGTTTAAAAACTACTTGGCTGAGTGATTATATAATCGGTATGTACATAAAGGCAATTTTGTGTCATGTCCAGTATATGGATAATGGAGATTTTTTATTTGAAAATCAATCAAATTAGTTTATAACCCCGAAATTTTAAATTTATGATTTCATTCATACCACTACTCTTCAGAACGAAGAATCCCAGAAAGAACCTACCATAACATTTTTAAGGTACCTGTACCTATATCTGTTATATGCGACAGTTAGAAGATACTGAGAGGTTAGCACATATCATCGGCAAGAGACGTGCGTGTGAGAAAATTTGCGAAAAAATCTAAGGGCACCGTAATCCTTCATCGTGCGGCCAACTAAAACGTGCTGCTGCATATCATTAACCCTTTCAAGAGGATGCTGTAGGTTTACCATCAAGATATTACCTACATTCTGGCGCATAGAATAAAAAATAATAGATTGCTCACGTTCGTCTGCCGGGATTAAAGTGAGCACACGAAAGCGTGGGCTATGGCGCTGATAATCAACTCATTGTACGAAACCCAGCAATTTATCATTGGATTAGCCGTGCATCAGTAATTCTTTTTTCTTTTTTTCTTTTGAGAAGTTTATTAACGAGGTGAAATGTGGGCACCATTTATTGTCAGTTGATCCTGCTTGAAGCATAGCGGTTGTTTATTACTACCCAGCCAGCTAAAGGTAACGATTTTACATTTCTACGCCCATAAAAGAACCAACCCCTACGGTTGGAGAAAATCTCCTCACATACTCTATTGTGGTCTAGGAGAACAAAACCGTAGTGTGCAACGTTGCACCGGGCTATTTGTATACACAAATGCAAACATGATTTATTACTGTCTAGAGCTCTAAATCAAGATCAGGATGTAATATCGTTTCAGTTGAACTTATAACCAACGCTTCAAGCATAAGATTAAATAAAATATCATCAACAAACAAACATGTCGTCAAAACGACCTAGGTATATTAAACTTAATGTAAGATTAATACGATATGGACAATTCAATTAAAAAAATCAGCGTGAACATTCACAGATTATGCACGCTCTTGCACCGTTTCAAATATGATGTGAGCGCGCGGTTTTCTATACATATAACTCAGAATTGTCCGCATCGCGGTATGTCATATTAAACTCGTTCATCATTGGATTTCCGCTTTCCCCTCCGAACACACTAACATACGGCAATAAACACGGTACTTCGTCGTCCATATATCCAGCAAACCTTACCCTCTGGTTGAACGTTTTAAAATATAGACAGCATCTAACCCATGTTTCCTTTTGCTCTCTCTTTTTGTCGCTTTTCAGATAATCGGAACGGAGTTAGTACGAGCGCACGTGAAAAAATCAAATGCACAACCTCTAAAGGTATACAACATCACAATCCATTACTGGATAGTAGAGGCATACAAATCAATCGGAATGTTCGGTTTTGGAGCCGCCTGTAGCCAGCTGTTGACCGACGTAGGGAAATATACCATCGGTCGGTTACGGCCACATTTCCTTGAGGTACGTATTCCAGGAGGGCATTGTCAGTATATACATACTGGAAAAATGGCAGAGACATACACCTACGGAACAAAGCATATTTCTCGCATAACATTTGAAAAGGGCCTATCAGCTTTTGTAAACAAAACTTTTAATTTCCTTTTCGCGCGAACCGAAGCTTTCCCACACAAACCAATTCAGAAATACGCCCCTTCCTGATAGTGTTCTTGATTTGCGTAAGTTAACTTCGGTTCGCGCGAAAAGGGCGTAGCAAGATTTGTTCACAAAAGTTGTTTGGCCCTTTTCAAAAATTAAGAGAAGATTTCTTGATTTACTGAAAACAAAACTGTTTGTTCATTTCCTTCTTGCCTTTCATCTTATTGAAGGAAAGCTTTGTATATTGTAGATAATTTTTTAACTGTGCTGAGTTTGCTGAAGGCCACTTTTTGCTAGATTTCCTATTCAAATGGGGCTTTTGTGCGTTTATGGGTAGGACAGACAATTAATTATAAATTGTTTAAATTATTGGTAATCTTGGTATGCGATATAAGTGTACGGAATTTCACGAAACTTTTGGGTTTTGGCTATGAAACAGCAGAATTATTGAAGTTTAACATGTGGAAAATGGTTTTGCGGGCCAGATCTCTCAGTTGAATACAATATTTGCTGTTCCTGGATGTTATTGCCGGAAATTGACAATTTCGTTTCGTTTTGTATTGTATCGTTATTCGTTAGACAAAAATAGGTCAGAGCAAAAAAAATGCTTTCCGTCAATCTTGTTTTTCGTACTACCCAACTAACAATTTTCACAATGTAAACTCATTTCATTTATACAGCTACAGCCTCAAGCTGTATTCAAACGTTAAACGATATGAGAGCTACAAGTTAAAAGTTGATTAGCATGTGTATAAAAGTGACATTAGCGTTTATTGGCTGTTGTTATTCAGTGCGACTGACAAATTGAATAATGGTTGTTAAAAAGTTGAGTAAACGCTCTCCATAACTATTCTAATAACTTCTGCTTGCAGCTGTATCTGCAGCTTTTTTCAGCTACTTTACAGCACAATGCTGGAATAGTTGGCTTAAAAAGTTGAGAATGTTAGTTGGGTAAGTACCAATGCTATCGACGCCAGGGAGGCAGCTCTCACACCTGTATCCGAAGCATCAACTTATGGACCGAGGACCAAAGGCTTTACTTCCCTTCCGAAGGAAGGCGTGGATCAGAGATTTATGCCTCAGAAAATCCCGACGGCGCCGACTGGGATTGAACCCAGGCCCATTGGGGTGAGATGCAATCACGATTACCACTACAATACCGGCGCCGCTAAGCAAAAATGTTAATTCATATGGTTTTAAAGAACAACACGTTTACAATAGGGTGAAAAAATCCGGATTGTGAAAGTTTCTATAGGATTTAAGCCTAACTTTCGTTTTGTTTCGCTGTTTTAGGGTTTTGCATACCGCATACCCCTAATTGGCAATCATCCATTCGACATGATTATGGAGTTAGCTTTTCCATAACTCATCTCATGAACTGCCGTTAAACTCATCAATGTACCATGTTCCATAATTATTGCATAGAATATGAGAAAGTTATGCGTATTAGGCAGTGAACTCATGTGACTCTTATGAGAGCACCTCAGTAAGTGTTCAAATTCTTGGTATATTATACGGTAACAGACGGAAGTAGTAGTGTGGCTTATCTGTGCGGCATAACTGTTCCATTAGAGTTTTTGGTGAAAATGCGTTGTACATTGGAATCGATTATCAACTACCACCACTTTACAATGTACACGAAAAGTTGCCTACCATGTTCAGAAAATGTCGCAAAAAATACCAAAACTATGTTTTCCCATCCATACGAGCCCATAATGAGAAAAATCTACAACAGAGTTTTTCTCAGCTTGGGACAATAAGACAATTATGCTGAAAAGGGCAGTAGTAATTTCATACAATGGTCTAGGATTCGCACCACTTACGAATTTGAGCAATCTTCTTAATGCTATGCTAATGCAAATAAAGGCACACTGATGTGACTGAAGTATGCCCAACATGTTTGAAAATAACTTCATCTTCTTTCCAACTTTTTGAAATTGTTATTTTTTTATCATAATTATAGGTTTGCAAACCTCTAATGCCCGACAATACGAACTGTAGTGATCCCAAAAATCAGGGCCGTTACATCGTAGACTTTACCTGTACAAGCGAGATATCCAGCCCCCGTATGCTAAAGGAAATGCGTCTCTCATTCCCAAGCGGTCATTCCAGCTTTTCGATGTACACTCTCGTATATTGTGCGGTAGGTATTTCTAACAATGAATCACAAATAATAGTCTAATCCACTGTTATCTTATCTTTCAGATTTATCTCCAATCTCGGATGAACTGGCGAGGTTCAAAATTACTGAAACATTTTCTCCAGTTTCTCCTGATTCTACTAGCGTGGTACACCTGTCTAAGTCGAATTTCCGATTACAAACATCACTGGTCCGATGTGCTGGCTGGAGCAGTCGTAGGGTCTACCGTAGCAATTGTTGTTTCCAATTACTGTTCAGATTTGTTCGATGCACGAAGAAAACGCATAAGTGTTCTGCCGCAAACCCGCTACGAACTCAGCCCCAACCATACTACTTCCAACGGAAACTAACAGTAGTTGATAGTGATAGACCTAACGTAGTGTATGTGATTTCTAAAATCTATTTTCCTTTGAAGTCGAAAGCCGGTTGACCTGCATACTATATTTATTATATAGTAAAGGATTAATTTATTTTACGTAAAAACAAAATAAGTAAAAGAGTCAGTTATTTATTGAAACTGCTGCATCCTGTAAGATAAGATATTATTTTAAGCAACTACTGAAAAACTTCCGTTTCAGTTTTGTTCAAGGCAGCTGCTGGATGTGTTACAAAATTGTATTAATTAATAAAAGGATTTTAACATCTTCATAAGTTCGAGGCTTATTTTATACTGCTATCGAAATGTCCGTTTTAAATTCCCAGTAGGATGTTGTCCCTCTCCTTCCCATGGAGGTGATCCACACTTTTCGGTCCGTCTCTTGTTTGTCCATCTGCTATTAAATAGTCAGAACACATTCAACCTTCCTAATGCATTGTGAAAAATTTACACAGTGTTTCCAGGCCAAAAATGACCCCAATGCACTAGAAAGGTTAAGCTTCTTCGTGTACTCATTATTCTCGTCCATAATTCCATTCCTCTATTCCTAAGAATTCAACTGAGCAACTATTATTGCTCTTATCAATGGTTGCTACTCCGTGATTGATTCAAACCAGTGAAATTGCACTGAATGGTCGTCCATTATCACTACACAATTTTCAGTGATTACAAATATTTAAGGATCAATAACGGCACCGGTCGCGTCCTTGCAATCAGAAGGGAATGTTAGAGCATGATCTTTGCTGTATTGGAGACCGATTATACCTCTTCATCCCCACACATATCACGTGAGGGAAATTTTGTTAGAGGGTTAGGTTTGTATGATCAGGTTTATTCTTCATAAGTGATGTGTTTATGGTTTTCATACAATGTGCTGTTATGTTTTTAAAAATTAAAATTAATGTTAAATAAATCAATGTAATCATACATTACATTATTCTTGAATTTGCCTGATCCAGGGCTGAAGAAAACGCATCTTTACAATATAAATCTAAAGATGTTCCATGAATAGTTCCATCCTGAATGAAGGTTCAAATAAGTGAATATAAAGATATTCCATCATCGAAGAGCTGAAAATATACTTATATAATTTAAATCAATAATTCCAGCCTGAACGAAGGTAGAAACAAGTTAATCTAAAGATGTTTCATCATTAGCTGTAAATAAGCTTAAATAAATTGAATTAATACTGAACGATGGCTGAAAAGTGAATCATTATAATATAAATCTAAAATAATCAGTTTCGGCTTGGCAGTCTGGCAATCACTCAATCAGAACAAATTAATTTTGTAATTTGTCCCTACGTTTCGGCTCTGTTTAGGGCCTTCTTCAGGGGAAGCTGAGGGGAATTTTATTTTTAGAATTAATTATTTCACATTTAATAAATATTTTACACTCACAATTGTTGGATTTGTTCTTTGTCTAAATACTGTTTGAAGTCTAACGTCTGTTTTTATTGTAAAACCTCACAGTCGAACACTCCAACACAATATAAATCTAAAGACTGTCCATCATCGATGGGCTGTAAATACATTTAAATCCATAAATCTGGTTTGGACGAAGTAAATCCAAAGATGTTTCATCATCGAAGAGCTGAAAATAAACTTAAATAATTTTAATCAATAGCTCTAATGACCAGCAAATCCAAACTCATAAAGCAACCCACGATAAAGACAAAACGCTTGCTACAACTACCACGATAAACTCGCTCTGTAATATAGATTTATCGGAGTTGTAGAAGGATAATGATATATTGCTTCCCAGCTTTGTGCAATATACACGGTTGAGGACATAGCTTGATCGGAATCGAGAAAAGAAAAATCTCATTAGCACACGTGTATCATCTTCAGCGTTACTTCGTGCTAACGTGCAGTTTGTCAACAATTTGGTCGTTTCCTTCTACCGGCTCGAGCGAGCTAATTGCAAAGGCAGTTTTTCATGACAAAATAGGAGAGGATTATATTTCTTGTTATTTTTGACATAGCGTATGCGTTGAGCTCGGTTATCGCATGTCGTTTTGTCATTTTGAGATATTTTTGATTCCTAGCCAATAACAGTTTTATAACATCTGTGTCACACATGTATACTATTAATTCTAAAGCTGCAAGATAATTTTGAGTAAAGTAACACAGGTGTGTGATCTTGCCATTTTTTTCTAGGGTATTACTGCCGCTATTCGCATGTCCGTTTTAAGTTTGCTTCGTACCATTGCTTCTTATGTGATGGGACAATTAATTTGACTGTATTTCCAAACTTTTTCAGAACAAAGTTGTTGAGTTCATCCAGTATTCTGAAAATATGCGTGATTATCTACCATTTGCATTGAAAAACTCAGTTTTGACAAAAACAACTATGGGGCCGACATGCGAAGAGCGGCAGATTAGTATTTAAGGGGATTAGATTTGTATAAGTCTTTAGTGGGAATGACACTGATGAAGACTGTACATTGTAGTCGAAATACGTATCTGTAATGGATATCAAAATTATGTAAGTGGAATTAAATGGAAGATAACCTTTATTTGCTGTTTTATTTAAGCATTCCGCAAACAAACCAATTCAATTACTTCATAATTCAATCAAAACACCATCCGCAACCCACGCCCAGACCCAATACAACCGCATCGATCTCACAGCACCAAAAAATCTGTTTAAGCGCACGATAGTTAGGTATGATTAACTTTTCTTTCAAATCATTTTCATATTTCTTTTCTTATTAGTGGTGGTAAGTATAAATAGGGGAAATGACGGCTTCGGCATGACAGACTATTTTCGGCAACACAAATTGAAACACTATTTTCACTGGATTTTCTTACGAAAACACTTCGCTGAATGCATGCAAACGATTCTTTATGCTTTCAACTTCAATTTGACTATATTTTTACCACTGAGAAAAAGCAATCTAGCAGGGTTTTCTTGAAATGAAACACACGCACTACAAATTGTAGCTGATTTCGAGTTGCCGATAATAGAACAGCAGATTTACATGCAGTTCAAATGGAACGGTTGCCGAAGAAAAACTGGATGCCGACAATACTCGCTCTCACTAGAGAAGATTGGAGCTTTGTAAAAGCGTTTCAAAACAGTTTTTGACAATTCTTTCGACTGAAATTGTTAGAGCAGCTGGCAGCAAAAGATTGTAAACAAACCAATACTACATATGTGTGCGTTCCATAGAGAAAAAGGCTATAGAAAGAAGGTCGCTGCTTAGGTTGCCGAGAATACGTAAATTCCCCTACTATAGATTCCATAGATAAGCGGAGGCACAAAAAGTTGTTTTGGCAACCATGAAAAATAAATGATCTTTCTGGCATTCCGTGAAAAAAGTTCATGCCATCATAGAGCAGTTTTGTTTTGTTTCGTGCGTAAAAGTTCAAAATGAAGTGCAAAGCAAATATTTGCAACAATGTATCGAGGAATGGTTTGCTTTATCTTTCCTTCTTCCGTTGTCCGCGAAATAAACCGGAATGTGGAATGTGGAAAGCGTTTTGTGCTCATAATATTACAATACTTCTCCCTCAAACAACACCATGATGACGTCATGCTCGTTTAGCTACACTAACTGACAGTTCGTTTGGCTACATTATACTTTTCCTCCGCTTATCTGAGCGGTTCCATATCATTGACGAGTGCACGGATGGATTTGAGTTCACTCACTCGACAAAAAGTGACACAACAGCGGGGCCCTGTTTACTAAAAATGAACACATGAATAATACTCACGTAACATTTGAAACGGGTCTATCAACTTATGTACACAAAACTTGTTAAGCCTTTTTCGCGCGAACCGAATACGCTCACGTAAACTAACAACACCATCGTGCAGAGGAAATGCTCTCCTTCCCGATAGTGCTCTTGGTTTGCGTGGGCGTACTTCGGTTCTCGTGAAAAGGACCTAGCAAATTATTTACAAAAGTTGATAGGCCCTTTTCAAATGTTACGCGAGCATTATTCATGTGTTCATTTTTAGTAAACAGGGCCCCGCTGTTGTGTCACTTTTTGTCGAGTGAGTGAACTCAAATCCATCCGTGCACTCGTCTATTAAAGCAACGAGTAATTTTCATCTTTTTTGATTTGCATGAAACCTTGCATACAAGTTTTTGGGGAAGAAAAACGCCGTTTTGCATACTTGGTTCGCCATTTTGAATCTAGCCTTACTTATGAGAAGGGCCTATGAAAAATGCACATGATATCTTCAAAAAATTGTATCTCGGAAACGGTTTGTCCGATTGGTTTGGTGTCTTGGGCGAAGTTTTAGACAATTTTTGGTGTTATATGGAGAAAATATGCACGGTAAAAAAAAAGTTTGGTATTTGTGTTTTGAACTAAAATATAAATTTTCCCTTTAAAGTGACATGTCAATAATTTTTTTATTATCCTTATGTTATAGCTGACTGAAAATGCTATCTAGTGCACAGTAGGTTGTTCTGGAGAAAAATAGGTTACAATGAAAAAAATTGTTTTTTAAAAAAATACAATTTTCAAAAAAGCTATTAAGAAAAGTCAAAAAAGTTTGTCACCCTAATTTTATGAAAGTACATCAAATTTGCAAACAAAAAGTACTTCGGTAACATTTTTCTAAGATGCACCGTTTAGAAGATATTACTGATTTAATATTGTTTTTTTTTTTGATAACTTAATAAGTTTTGGCCCTTTTCGGATGTACTCCGTGTTTTTCCAGTTTCAAAAGTTTTTTTTTCGGAAAGATTGGAAAATTTTGAGTTAAAATGACACTGACAGCTTAAAGATTCGAGTGAAATTCTCTGCCTTAAAAGTATTTTGAAAAACAAGTTACAAAATCCCACTATCAGGAATAATGATTTCTTCAAGTGATTTTTGGTGCGTTGTGCTGAAAATGTGCATTCAACTCTTGCATATCGCCTAACAGTTTAATCCATTTAAACTGGATGTGTTTATACTGTGCATATTTTCTCTCTATTGCCGAACATCGCCACAGACATCAAACCGATGAGACAACTCGATTTCGAGATACACCTTTTTGTGAACTGCAAATGTAAGCTCCTCAATTAGCAAGATTCAAAAGAGCGAATTAAGCTTATTTTTCAGGGATGGTGATTGTGCGCAATAAAAAATAACATTATATGTTGGATATCATCAGTTTATTTTTATTCCTGTATTTTTATAAAATTATTGTTTACACAACTTTCTTAATTTTTTTCATTGTAACCTATTTTTCTCCAGAACAACCTACTGTGCATATGTCGTATGAAACACGTCAAAAACTGTCCAAATCCGCAGATAAAAATTTTTGTTTTGAA